GCTATGTGTGCTACAAAACAAGCAGACTTTTTCATAGTAGTTGCCCATGACAAATTGGAAAGATCCGTCCACGAGTTCGCTTACACAGGGGTTTAATAAAATTCTACTACTGATGAGGCAGCAGAAACACCTCCCTTCACCTTATCTCATCTTTTATAGAAACCTCAGTTTTCTTATCAGATTGCCTAGAAATGGCCAAAGTGCTAGAATGCACTGGGATGTCCTTTGCCATTCTTTTCTGTCTCCTGTACAATGCTTTTATTACAGTGCAATGAATGTGCTGAGCAGCAATAGGCCAACAGCGGGCAGTGTGACAAGTCTCCTAAGGGTGGCTGCAGACTGGCGTGCCAGGGCAGGCAGGAGGGGAAGGTGCTGTGCCAGCTGGGAGAACGGTTGGAGAACTGAAAGGACAGCGATGAAGCTGGGGTCTGCAGCGTTGTCTGTGCGAGACTGGACCAGTCTGTCTTTGCATCAGAGTAACAAGGCCCATGTGCAGACTCTAAATGAGCAGATCACCCTGACCCACTGCCATGACATCAGGTTCTCTCTGACAAGGGAAGCCGATCTGCTGCCAGGGTCGCCAGCCCTCCAGGGTTGCAATGAAGTCTCCAGGAATTTAAAGATGAATCCTCAGTTAAGGATTATGTCATGTGCTGAAACCACCAGGAGTATATCCAACCAAAGCCGGCAACCCAGTGCCATGAGGTCCTGGAATCCACCTGGCCAAAGAGTGCTGCTGTTGCAACTGGAGATCCCTGACGAAAGCGAAAGCAGCCCATTAGGGGAGACCAAGCGCATTCTCTGTGCTCTGGGGAGGTGCCCACCCTGCAGTGACCTAGGAACAGCCAGAGCCAAAGCCTGCTCTCAGGCACTCCAATGTAAACCCCAAGTACTGCAGCTGCATTCACTTCAGCGGGTTTGCTCTGGATTTGCACAGTGTAAATGAGAGCAGAATTTAGTTCTCCTGCCTCAGACTCCCTCCCCTGTGCAGAGGCCCAGGATGAGACCTAAGTGCACTCATTCTTTCTGTTTTATCCCAACAGGACTTAAAGTGGGACTCACTGACCCTCAGATACCAGTGGGAGACCTGGTATAAATAGATTCCTTGTAAACCAGAGACATTATAGTCATTGGACCCAGAAAAGGGCATCTACTGATCAGAGGGAGTAAGTAGCGATGGGCCTGGACCCAATCCCAAGTGTGAACATCCTTGAATTATGGGCTTATTTGGATTTGGAGCCAAACTTTGCAGCGGGGGCCCAACTCTACCAAAAAAGTAAAAACTCCTTTTGGCTGGTAAGGCTCTGGAGCAGAGTCTGCCCTTTTGTTACGTGTTTGCACTGCACCCAGCACAACAGCACCCTGATCCTCAATCCAGGCTTCTAGGCAACGCCGTAGCACGGGTGCTAGTAATCCAGCGTTATCAGCCAGACAGCCCAGTGTCCCCTGCAGAACACAGCAGATGAGAACGGAGGCCAACCAAGCCTGTAGGCTGTGGCTGTGACCCATCCGCAGGTGTCACTCTCCTCCCAGACACGTGCTGTGTCTGCCTACATTCAGCGCTGCAGACGTGTGTACCAAGCGACTGCTCCCAGCCGTGCAGTGTCGTGCTGCGGCTTGTGAGAGCGTCCCGCGTGCAGCGCTCCAGTCAGCAGACACCGCATCGCCAGTATGGGGCGCCTTTGGGTACATATCAACCAACGTCACCTAGATTCTGCTGATCTTAACAACGTCAAACTCCCATTGACAAGAGCAGAATTTGACTGAGGCATCAGCTGTGGGGGCAGCACTCACTAAACCTATCATGTGAGAAGTCGTGGGCTTTGGAGGAGGCCAGTCTGTGGCACTGCACCCACACAGCAGCAGAAAGGAAACTCACAGCAGAAAGGAAGTCTGGGCTAGAGGTTAGGGGACTGGCCTAGGAGGAAGGAGGTCTGATTTCAAGTCTCTGCTCTGCCACAGATTTCTGAGGGACATGGAGCTCCTGGCGCGGGGAGGATCTGAACTGCCTGTGCCAGCCTGCAGCAGCAAAGCACTTGGGCATGTATTTAACTTGAAGCACAGGAGACGTTCCATTGGCGTTAATGTGGCTATTCACAGGCTTGCTGCCCTGGATGCAAGCCTTAAAGGGGATGTTCTCTTTCCTGCTCGGTTCCTAGCTAGGCATGGGACAGACGGGCCCATTTATGGGCTTTCCAGACTTTGTCTTGTTCATACAAGGGCTCTTCTGTTTCCCAGGCCCAGCCTCTGCTTATCTGAAAGCATTTTTGTCTAAACATAGAGATTGCCCAGCCACTTGCCCCTGCCCCTCTGATCCCTGGGATTAATCATAGGCTAAGAAGGGAATGTTGTTGGCAGTCCCCTGAGAAGTGAGTCTGGGGGTTTTCACTCCAGTCCCGAGTGGATAAATTTGCACATAACACAAGCCATCACCACAAGTGGGCTCCTCATTGGGCATCTCAGCACCGAGACCAGGGATAGAAAAGGCAGTCTCTCACTCCTAGGCTTGTAGGGGAGGTCTGAGCAAGCCAGAGGCATAGGGCAAGAGCCATGGGTGAGGGTCAGGCTGCAGTGGTCTCAGGCTGGTACATTTCACCAGCGCGACATTTGCTAATGTGCCGGGAGGGCCTGGCAGCATTTGCAGCGTGCGCTGCAGTGGCATTGTTGCACCCTGCCTGGTAGCTGCCTCTCTGCCTGACAGGAGCCCATCCCCTGCTGAAAGCTCCTGGCCTCTCCAAGCAATATTTGCAATTGTAAAATATTTTCGACGTCTCCTCTAAACTGCATTACATTTTCATAAATTAGAGGCTAATGTTTTAAACATAGCTCATTACAGGAGAGACATTCAGCAGCCGACACTGTTAATTAAAACCATTTTTTCCCCTCCCTCCCTCTCTCTCTCTCTCTCTGAAAATCTGAAATCAGGAACTAAAAAGCAACAATAGGAGGGAGGAGAGCAGAGCCTCCCAGCTGAGAAACATTTATTACCCATTACCAATTAGTTCCACCACTTTTATTTGCGGCCCATGGATTCTACAGTCTGGTTTATTCCGGTGCATAGCAGCCTGCAGGAGAGAGATGGCCTGGGTGCAAGGCTGGGTTCATGGGTAGCCTCAGACTTGCAGTGTGACCCTGATCCAGTGGGAGTCTTTCCAATGATGCTAGTGGGAATTGGATCCAGCCCTTTAGGTCTTCTCTGCATTAGTGAAACACACCAGTGTGACTGAGCCAATGCAAAGTCCAACAGCACCCTGCATACACCCACAGCGCTCCCTGCTTCCACTGCAGGGTCAGTGGATTGCTGCCCCCATGCCTGGCACAGCTCCCAGGAGCAGGTGCATAATGTCGACAGCATATAATGTCTACTGGTACCAGTTCATGGTATTGGGTTGTTCCACTGGATACCACATGCCACGTGTCCGGCATGAGGAGCTGCCCATCCTGAGGGCAGGGGCTATGCCCTCACACTCGCATTGCAGATGTCATGGGGAAGGTCAATAGCTGCCCAATCAGTTCCGGGGGTCTGTGGTCTGCTGTGATGAGCGCTGTCACTCCTCGGTAGCGGTGATGGAGGAGGAGCTTGTATTCTCCTCGCTGCTCTTATTCTGCTGAGCATCTCTGACTTGGCTGGCTAGCTAGTCACGTCTCCTTGGGCTGTCTCGGCTGTGCTAACAATTGCCCTCTCTTTTCTTGCCTCCCCCAAAGATGCTGAGATGGGAGTGTTCTGGGGCCTGGGTCCATGGCTGGACAACCTGAGGCCTCACCAGTTCCCTCAATGCCCTTTCCCCCCCTACATGCTGTGGGAGCCCTGGGGCACATACAGCTTGTCAGCCGAGGCATGGGTGCCTGCTGGGTGGTGGAGAAGCAGGGGGAGGGAGGGGAGCGCTGGGTTGTACTATTGGAAAGGGGTATATCTATTGATAGCATTACAGGCTTGGGGGCCAGGAATACACGAAACCCGATGACTGGTTTGTGTCCGGTTGGAGGAGACACAACCTTCTGGCCTGTCTCAGCAGAACGGGTGTTTCTGCCACCGTGGCTCCTTGGCCATCCAGGAGCACAGAGGGGAGTCCAAGCCCCCAGGCTGAGGACCTATTTACCCTGCTGCTCTTCATCCAGGTGCTCCTTTCAGGGAGGCCTTGGGAGATCTGGGGGAAGGTACCGGCTACAGGTGTTGCCTCAGATGCAGCTGGTCCTGACCAATGGTCTGGGTCAGGACAAAGGTCTCCGCAGCAGAAGGGAGCTAAGAGCCAGTGGGGGCAGTGGATCACAAGCATGGCACAGAGGAGAGCACGGGCAGCGGCTGTAATGCTGCTAACACTGTACTCCTCGGGCCTCCAGAGCTTCATGTTGGGTTTGAACATCAACCTCCTGGTTCAGGGTTTAAGGCAACTGGATTTCAAAGGATGCCGAAGGAAGCATCAGGTGTGAAGGCCATGCTCAGAGACAGGCCACTGAACTAGGTGCATCATAGAGCTGACCCAGTCTGACGATTCCTATGTCCCTGTGACTTTCTGGCCTCTCCAGGACAAGCAGAAGAAAAGGAATGAAATTTCTGCTCCCCTAGTAAAACATCAATGTGCTTGAAGTAGTTATTAGAGAGCCAGTGTAATCTAGTGGTTGGACCAGGGACTGGGAATCACAGCTGCTGGGTTCTATCGTCATTATTTATTGTTTGTATTATGGTACTGCCGAGGAGCCTCAGGCATGGACAAGCACAGAACAAAAACACGAACCCTGGTTCTATTCCTGGCTCCGCTTCTGACTGGCTGTTGGATCCCACACTTAACCTCTTTGTGCCTCAGTTTCACCACCTATAGAAAGCTCATTGCCTCCATCAGCTACATAGTGAGGAGACAGAGAGTGGGAGAGAGATGCCAGCTGGGAGGTTAGCTAGACCTAGTTCAGTAATGTTTGTAACACATTCTGAGCCCCTCAGAGGAAAAGAGTCGTATTATATTTTTACAAACCGAAAAAAGCAAATATAGAAGTGCCAAGAATGATAATCAAAGGGATATTTATTTGTAAGTGCGTCCTCTGCTTTGATATATCCTTGTCTTTTAGACCTTGCAAGCAAATACATTGATTAGGCAACACAAGATATTTGACTCACAATAGCCAAACATTCATTTAGGCTGGGATTCAGCACAACTTCAGCGAGGTCTTATTATAGGTAACTGATTTAGGACGATTACAAGTCAATGGCTCTGTTATTGTCTCAATGACTTGACAGCTCACATGGGTAATGACTCGATCTGTGCAGGTAATAAAATATCTGTTGCAGTGAATTCTCCAAGGAGGACAAAAATTACCCTCTTCTTACGGTCATTTGATTCACTGATTATCCACAGGAAAAGTTTGGATTGGGTGTCTGCTACCCAAATTCTTTTACTATCCGCCAAAGAATGTATATGACAGGAAGGGAGGAGGAGAACTGCTCCCTGGGAAAACAGGAGAAACAATCACACAAATAACCCAAGCAGAGAGAGTTTAATCCTGAGCTGAATAACAGACCACGTCTGCTGCTGCGCTGCTCCACAGGGATCACTTCAGGCAGAGGGAGGTGAAGATGCATCAATGAGAGGAAGATACAGAACAGACAGGAACTACGGAGAGAAAGATAATAGCCTGCAGCCATACCATGTCAGCCTGTGATCTCCTCAGGGTTCACCAGGTAAGGAGGCTGAGGCCTGCTCACTACTTGGGTGGGTGACCTTCAAAGGAAACCCAGAGGGAGCAGCAGGTGGTGGTAGTAATTTAGAAGCTGGCACTCTTCCTTCCGTGGTAGCTCTGACTGAATGGCAATGAGCCCATGGCAATTTTCACAGCGAGAGCAGGGTGTTCGCTTTGGAGTGCTGGCCAAAGCCCAGCTGTTGTGCCACCTCCCTTTCCACCGGATCCAGCAGCACCAAACTTGGCAGGGTGGGGACTACGGCCGGACTCTGGGCCAACAAGAAGTTTTTGAAGATAATTTTCTAGACTTTTTACTATGAAACTTCATAAAATAAAGCGTCTCCTTCAGAAGAGACTGACGGATAACGTTTTCCTTCAGAGAAGCTCACACGGAATTGTCTTTTCAAATAGCTGCCATCCCCTAATGTTTCCAATGAGAGTGAGGCCATAGGCTGCCCTCACTTAACGTGACCTTCTAAAAATGTTCGCTAGCTCCCATTGCTCTCAGTGAGATTGAGAGCCACAGACTGCCCCCAGCAAAGATGGCAACTACTTCTACTCACCGGCTCCTTTCGTGGTGGCCTTTTCCTGATCACCTACCCTCAGGGTTGCTTGGTGTTACTCCCCCTGGTCACAGACCTGAGGAGAACAGTGGGAGATGGCAGCCATTTTGAAGGAGGCCCATTTAATGGTGAGTGCCTCTGGAAGGAGGTTTTCATGCACCCGCCTCTGCTAAATAAAAACGTCCAGTGATGAAAAATCACAAAAAGTGACCATTAATCCTAGAAATTTCTGTTCCAGAACTACCCATTGCACCAGATCTACTCACTAGAGAGGGAACAAGGGTGGGGTGTGTGTGCATATGGAGGAGGAGTTCAGGAGGCAGCTGGGGTGCATACAGGTGGGGGAATGTGGAGAGCTGAAAGGAGGGGGGAAACTAAGTAATACACTCCAGCTGCATTGTGTTTCCTTGGCAATGTAAAGCAGCTGTAAATCCAGTTTAAATGACCAGGTTGCTCTGGCTGCTGTGTGCTGCTCCAATGCGGGGTGAAGCAGCCTGCGCATAAGGATGAATCTGGTCCTAAAATTTAAATAATTAAAAATATATATGGTTGTTGATATGACATATCTTAAATCCCTAGACATGCCACATGACAGCATTCTCTTTGCTCTTTCTCTTGTTTACTATTCGTGTATGAAAATTTCAGTACTTTATTTTAAAAAGCCAAGGAAATCCCCAGACAGATAGCTATATTAAGATGGAGTTAAGCTTTAGAGAACATATCAGTGAGTAATGGGGGGTAAAATACATTATAGGGTTGGTGAATTTATCCCCAAACAAGCATTATAAACCTAGGGACTTCTGAGCTAAGGTTAAACTTAAAAGAAATCCAAATACTTTTAAGTATGGAAATGCAAAATTAAGATACCTAAACATTCTGAATATCCCCAATTAATTTTCACTCCCCAGTTAATTTGCAGGCATAAAACCTGCAGTGTAGACATCTAAGTACCTGGTCTATGGGTGTAGTCAGGAACTCAGGTACCTAAATAGGATATTTGTTCCAGAAATTTATTGCAGGTGCAGTTAAAAGCAGGTATAAAATTGCTCCCATCGACAAAGAGGTCAGGCTGATACCTCTTTGAATTTCAGGCTTTGATGCATGGCAGGACCTGAAGTGGGGGTGGGGTGGGGGGAGGAGGAGGACAGGGCAAGTGCGGCTAGATACCTTTTGTGTGTAGAAAGCAATAGAATGAAGAATGGTTGCTTCCACTCCTCCAGGATTTGCGTGTGCTCATGTTTTGGAACCTGTCCCTTAACATGCGAAAATTCTGTAAATAAAGTCATGTTACAATAGAGGACAATATTGTGAAAAGGGCCAGTTTCCCAAATAATCTGCTCGTGGGTGAGCTGCTGGTTTAAATTTCTCATTGTCAAAAGCCACATGAACCTGTCCTACTTGCAGCCCTGGAGTGAACTGAAGGGTTTCAATAGATGGACAGGGGATGCTGAACAATCTTCTTTGTCCATGAGTTATTCGGAGATGTTTGTAGTTGATCTTTCCTTCTTATACTTTTAACTGGTGAATCTCCGGTCCGTATTAAAAGTGCAGCTGTCACCGTTGAGTGATTCTGCAAGTCGTTTGGTTGCTTGAAGTTGTGGCAGTGGTGCTGATAGAAGGGCTTGGGCGGTAGAGATGCATTGTGTTTGGCGGCCCCATGGGGTGGCTTTCCCCTTTCTCCAGCCTATGGGCAGAACAGACTCTTGAGTTCAGCAGTCTGGGTGGAATTTGGTCCCTATGTTCTACTTGGAGCCTTTGTCATTGTGACTGCAAGCCTTGTGCCTCTTTACCTCCATTTCTGTTTCTCCTTCCAACACCAGTCTGCATGACAGCTAGTGGCTCTGGCTAAGAAACTGTTTTATGCAGGCTAAGTACTGGGGCTGGATAATCTAGCTCATTTAAAAAAGAACCTGTCTGAACTGTCCCCCAGATTCAGCCTCAGCCTGTGGTTAATGTGTAAAACAGGGATAATAAAACCATCCCTACCTACCTCAAAGGGTACTGAGAGGCCTAATTAGTAAATGGGTGTAAAATGCTTTGATGGTGTAAAGCATAAATATTATGAGAAAGCTGCTGTTCCCCTACTTCTGGCTTGTCTGAAATGAAGGGATCTCACACAGACAGACACTTGATCTTGTGAGATTTTTAGTTCAAAGAGGGACGGATGAACATCCAAACTCTTGTATGTTGCGCCAAAGTGAGGTTCTGAACTGCCCATTGCTATTGCATGCAAAGCCTGAGTCTCTTCTCACTTCCACCAGTAGAATGTGGAGTCACTCCAGATTTGTACCAATGCAAGTGAGAGATGAGTCCTCCATTACAGTAAGGGAAAGAGGCGTTCTTCTTCAACAGAGCAGTTGTTCTAAGGCTGTAAGTTTATTTTAGTGTTTTTGCCCAACTGAAACAATTTGGAAAAATCCACACAGATCTTCAAAATGTTTTGGAATTGCTGAATCTTCATTTTTTTAGAAAAAAAAAAAGTTTTTTCCTGTCAGAAATTTTTGCCCAGCTCTATCATCAGACAGGAGCAGAGCTTGAACAATTTATTCCTCACAATCATCAGCAGGGGGCAGTGCAGTAACGGAAGTCAAGGGGTGTAGGAAGATGCAGCACCATACAACAAAGTATTAAAAGTAACTGCAGCCCCTCTGCACAAAAGCTTAGAGGAGAGGGAATAATGTAAATAAGCTGTTAGTGCAAAATGAGCTGCTACTGTACAACAGGTGCTGGTTTCATGCTAACTAGCAGCCACTGCAGTATGGCACTTCAGATGCCATAAACACTTCCCTGTGAAGGCTCGGGGAAGGGTTTGTGCTGTATGTAGCCTGCGTATGAAAACAGTTTGCAAGCTGGTTCTGTCTTCTAACCTGCCCATGCTGTGCTGGGCTGTATGACAGAAGTGCAGGGTGGGGCAGTCGTGCACAGCTGCAAGCAGCTTTCCAATCAGTGACCTTCTGTTTCAAAGGGCTACGAATGCACGCTGTCGAGCTGCGGCCTGGGAACGGCACAGAACCCAGTCATGGGGACCCAGAATTCAGACAGAGCAAAGACCTGTTAGATGACTCAGGGCGTTGCTCCCTTCTGAGCATTCCCAGGGGCTCTGAATAATTCCCACAACTGACCTCAGCTAAGGGGATTCCGTCATTTCCCCATGGTGGCTGCTTTGTAGGCTATTTGAGCTCATTACTGCAGGGACACGGTGTAGACCGCTGGGAATTGGAAAGGCGTGACCCCTGGCCCTGCAGGGAATGGATTAGGAACCAGAGAATGGGCAGCACCTGTGAAGTGTCATTATTTTAATTGTGTCATTTAACTGCCTTCCAGGTTGGTAACAGATTTACCAGGAAAGAAAGTCAGCCAGTTTCTGTCAGATCTGAAGGGAGTGGGGGAGATCTGGGAGAAGAGAGAGGGGGAGAGAAAGGGAAAAGAGAGAGAGAGGACCAGATTCTCCTCTTTTTCCTGCCAGTTCAACATTAGTGTTGCTCCTGGCAGTGTCCAGTCAGAAACACTGACTGGACACCAAAAGTCCAGTTAGGTGACGTGCTGGTCGGGGGGCGGAGGAGGGGACATGCGGGGTCAAGTGACCCCCACCAGCTGGCCTGGGCGAGGAGTGGAAAGGGCAGGACCAGAGCCTTTTCCGGCCATTAGGATGCTGCCTGCTGCAGTGCAGCAGCTGCCTGGGAATGGGGTGGCGGCAACAGGCTGCCCCTCACCCAGGCTTGGCTTCCAGGGACAGCGACTGAGCGAGCTGGAGTCCTCCCTCCCGCCCAGCATGCTCAGCCCTTGCCCCCAGAAGCTGAGCCCGGGCAGGGAGTGGGCTGCCGCTGCCCCTCCCCAGTCAGGCTCTCTCCCAGGCAGCTGGCTACGCTGCACAGAGCAGCGACTGGGAGCAACTTTGTCCCACTGCCCGCCCAGGCCTGGCTGCCAGTGGGGCAGCTGAACGTGCTGGAGGGGAGCTGGTGCAGTGGGAGGACAGTGACCCTCACCACAGGTATCGTGGGGTGGGGGTCCTGGGTTGGGTGGGGTGGGGAGAGTGCAGGGGCCCTGGACTAGTTTGGTTGCCACCCTCCAGGATTGTCCTGGAGTCTCCAGGAATTAAAGATTAATGTTTAATTAAATATAATAGCATGTTATAAAACCTCCAGGAATTTGTCCAACCAAAGTTGGCAATCCTATGGGCCGTGGGGGTGGAGTGGGGCTGGGGCTGGGCAGGAGAGGTTCCAACACTCCTATTGGCGTGTTTGGTTTTTCAGTATTTCAAACTTGGCAACCCTAATTACTCCTGAGCAGAATCAGGCCCATCACGTGAGCAAGAACTGTTGGGCAGCATACAGAGAGAGCCAAAGCCAAGCCAACTACTTCTGCCTACACTGCAGCAATGACTCCCACGCACTTCCCTCGGGTCCCTCCTGTCCTGTGTGTGGAGAACAAGGCCCCACGGCCGTCCCAGAGAAGTCTGAGATATTCTTTTTCCCACACAACCCAGATCTCTGACGAGAGGCTTTACACACTTGTTGCATTTTTGATTGACAACGGAGGAGCAGCCGTGGGCATGAGCCGATGTAGAGCAGCACTTCGAAATGAAATTGATTTGCTGAAAAATGCCATTTCTCTTGCTGCTAAACAGAGGTTTAGATTTTTATTTTCTGCATTAAAATTCTGGGCAGCTGGGAAAAGTGGTGCAGCATCAAACTGTTAACATTGCGTGGCCCAACTCAACTGATAGGAATCTGGTGCTAATTACACAGTAGTAATCACCATAAATGACTTTCATGCCTGAAACTCATCCTTGTTCTTTCCTCTCTCTGGCATCCATATACACTCACACTCATGCACACACCCAGGGTTGGATTGGTAGCTTTTATACAAATTAAGCCCTTTTTTATTTACAGTATCTTGCCTGCATAAAGGCACCATCTTTCCAAGCCAGCTGCCCGTGCCCAGCTTTCCTGCGTGGGCATCGCTGGGAACTGCTTGGCTACAATGCCCAGACAGAACGTGAAACTGCAGGTGGCTTTAAGAGAGCCCTCGCCACTGGGCTTTTGTCTATAAGGGGTTGGGGTGTCTCTATCACTGGCTTCTGAGAATCCTATTTGTAGGCACCTCACTCTTCCCATGCGTTCGATGGGGAGCCTGGGCACCGAATTTGGTGCTGTGAATTCCAGTGGGGGGCAAGGCACCTAAGAGGTAGGCATTGCAATGCTGACGGTTACAGTGCATGAGTCCCTTTGGATTAGCCTTGTATCAGGCATGGGGCTTTTTTAGGCTAGATCCACTAAGAGACTTGGAGGATTGCTGATTTTATCCTGGGTTACTGCGGCACTGGTTGGGGGTACTGGATGAAGGAAAATGGAGGTGGATGACTTGGGGTTGAATTGGGATTAGCCAGTGACAGCCATGGCACTCGGAGTTGAATTTAAGCTGCATGGGGCTCCTGCCCACCAGGGTATAGTGAGTCCCCAGCAGAGAGCTAAAAGTGTCTGCCACGGTTGAATGCAGTGGGGGACTGGAGAGGGGACTGCAGTGTCTGCCCAGGAGAGGGAGCTATGTAAGAACTACACTAATGCTAACTGGGTGGTTGTTTTCAAAAGGGCCAGACCCTGAATGGTGCTGAGCACCTGAAACTCCTGTTGGAATGGAGATCCCGGGTCTGGGATGCAGCCCCACTCAGGATCTGTCTCCAAATTTTCCCATTCCTCCCCACTGTGCCAATGCTCTCTCCATACAAGGAAAGCAGGGCACATTAGCATTCTGATGGCAGGGCGGAGAGAAGAGAAACATTAGCATTGCTCTTTAAAGCCCAGTGGACCAGGGAAGAACATTCTGTTTGGCTTTGTGAGACTGTGAGCATCCTAATTGGGTTTGTGCACCTGTATTGTCACCAGAGACAATAGCATCATCCTAGCAGGCAGTGATAAATGTGAGTTATTCGCTCTGCAAGCCAACGCTTTCCTTTGCCATAGCAGCTTCCAGGAAAGGAAGAAGGCAATCCCATTAATGCTAGCAAGACGTGGGATGCAGAAGCCAATAACCAGGCATACTGTTTGTGAGTGCAACAGGAGGCGATACGCTTTCCACCTTGATTGCTTGTATATTAAGTAAAAGCTTCACCTCAAATCTGAATTGCATTGAGTTCAGAGCTATTTAAAGGGACAGTCTGTATGCTTGGATCAGGGTTTCTCTGTCCGTGTCCTAATCAAACACATTTTTCTCTCTGTCATAAGCTCAGTAAGGGGACAAATGGTTGTTTCAAGGAGCAAAGCTTGATCGAGTTACACCAAATAAACATATATGTAGAGGAGCAGCTAGAAAGCAAACCTAAGGCCCGTAAATTTTGATAGGGAACAGAGAAGTATTTATTTGAGCAAAACAAAAACCCAACAACCCCACTTTCTGGTTAAAACTCACTGGCCTGCACATAATTATAGAGTGAAAACAGGGAAAATTTAAGACTGGAAATAGTTTTAAAAAAATATTATGAGCCAAAAATCTGCTCTAATTCATACTGGTGCCATGTAATTGATTCTGGGAATGTTTCCTGGTGTAAATGAGAATCCTCTTTCTTCACTCCCATTGGGCCTGTCTTACGAGAGAGTAAACAGCGAATCACACAGCAGTTCAAGTCAAATCGCACTGTCACATGTTAGTGTCCAGACTGCTACAGAGCACTCCTGTTCCTGTTGTACCTTTCCCCCTGCTCACCTCTGATGTAACAGTAATGTGTAACAACATCTTCATTTTAGACAGTTTTCAGAGTAGCAGCCGTGTTAGTCTGTATCCGCAAAAAGAAAAGGAGGACTTGTGGCACCTTAGAGACTAACAAATTTATTTGAGCATAAGCTTTCGTGAGCTACAGCTCACTTCATCGAAAGCTTATGCTCAAATAAATTTGTTAGTCTCTAAGGTGCCACAAGTCCTCCTTTTATTTTAGACAGTGTGATCAATTTGCCCAACAGAGTCAAATTCAGAGGGGTGGTCCACAGGCTCGTCTGGCATTTGTCTTAGTTTTGGATTCAGTTGTGTTCAGTCAAGGTGGATAATGCAATGCTGACATGGGGTTTAGCACAGAAAAGGACAAGTTGTGTTCAGTATCATGCTTGCGAACCGTGATTGCAGTCATGGTAGTGTAACACTGACAGACCCCGGTTGTCGGTGGGTGGGATCAAACCTGGGGCCTTGGGAGCTTAGTGCATAAGCCTCTACCACATGAGCTAAAAGCCAATTGGCTGTTAGCTAACACTGTAGAGCAGACTCATTTAACTCTCTCTAACTGGTCTCGGTGCCACTAGATGGGACAGAACACCATACCCAGAAGGTAGCATCGTACTACCTAACTCAAAGGCTCAAAGTTATGGGCAAACGTAACACAAGTTTGTCATGTGGAACAGCCCATAGGTAGTAAGAGAGTGAGAGTCTAAGGATATGTCTATACTACCCCCCGGATCGGCGGGCAGCGATCAATCCAGTGGGGGTCGATTTATCGTGTCTAGTCTAGACGCGATAAATCAGCTCCCGAGGGCGCTCCCATCGACTCTTGTACTCCACCGCCACGAGAGGCGCAGGCGGAGTCGACGGGAGGCAGTAAAGACACTGCGGTGAGTAGGTCTAAGTACGTCAACTTCAGCTACGTTATTCACATAGCAGAATTTGCGTAATTTCGATCAGTCCCCCCCCCACCCCACCCGCAGTGTAGACCAGGCCTAAGTTTGTGTAGCTTAGGGCTCAAGAAGAGGCGTAAGAATGTGTAACCTAAAATGTGTGCATTTTGCTATTTCAATTTACATGTACACCTTCTTGTACCCATCTGCAAGTTGTCTTCCCTGCTACATCTCCCTCCTCTGACCCCTTAGCATGTAAGCTACATCACTCAGACTTCTAAGCCCCAATTCATCCCCAGAGCCTAGCTCAGGGAATGAGCGAAAGCAGTTTGGTCTCTCCTCTATTCCTCGGACTGTGGTTTGGCCCCTGGTCCTGAGAATCTGGCACCTAATTTATAAACCACTGAATGTTAACGCCTCTGTTTAAAACGCCCATGCAGCACAATGGTCACAGGTTTTGCCTAATTGCTTCGAAGTTTCTTCTGATTTTTAGGAATGGCCACCATTTACGAGGGATGATAGTGGACAAGTTATGCACCTGTTTGATCATCTGTGCTTGTAGGTTGCGCTTCATCCCAAGCACATGTGGGACCTGCTGCTCCAGTATTTCAAACTCTTCTGAGTGGTATCTGTCCTTATACAAACATGCCAGCTTTAGCTTTATTATTTTATATAGGCCCAGACTGTGCTTGCTATAAGAAAAAAAAATAGTTTATTGGGTGGCCAGTAGCCACAGTACACTTTTGCTGTGAGTCCAGTGCATTCAGCTCCAGTGTCTATTTTGAAATTAACTTTTTGTTTATTTCAAATGTCACAAATAAATTTGTCAAACTTTGCTTTGTAAATGTATTCATTAAGAGAGCCATCGAAGGACTCTTTTTCAGAGCTTTGTCCTCCAACTGTATGTTCATGAACGTACGTTGCTTTTGCATTTTGTTCCTTATGATACTTCATTCCTTGTGCAGGAGACCCTGGCACTGTGCTTTGATTACCTCCATATTTATTGCAACAGCAGTTTGTTTACCCTTCCATTCTGTCTTTGTGCATTTTCAGTTAGATGCGATTTGGTTCTTTTGGAAGCTCAGTTTTCATTAGCCTTGCAAATAGCCACACCACCTGTTTTTGAAAATCAGATCCATTTTGCACAATAATATTTCTTCGCCCTGGTTATCAGCTAAACCACAGAATGTGGTCTGTAATTAATCCATCTGTTAATGCTTCAAATTCATATGATTTTACCTTATTAGATAGGTCTGTTAACACAATTATCAATAGTCTCATCTGACAGGTGGTTTCCTGCACAAAACCAAAAAAAAATCTCTCTCAAGAGATGTTCCTGCCTGGATCAGACAGTTCCAGAAATTTGTGAATGATTTTGCCTAGCTGTTAGCTGTTCCCTTCATGATCCCTCTGGAATGTGGTGTAGATAGCCAATGCCACATGTTGCACTGTGGAGGATTTCACTCTCTTAACATTTTTATCCAATACCATATGCTTTTGGGTCATTTTGGAAACACCGCCTCCTGTTCCCTCCAGTTCTCTGCCACGTTCTCTTCTAGCCAGAGATGCAGGTGGTTTCACTGGCTCCACTTTTGCCAAAAGTTAATGCACTCCTGTCATCAGGGTGATGCACAGGAGTGCATTAAGGGAGAGAATTAAGTTTATTTCCTGCTCTCAGTCAGCTGACTTGGATCGAGGTCACCAAGGTGACTGGTCAGTATCCAGTTATTCCATTGGCCATTGTTACACCCAGAAAAGCAGAGTGCAGGATCACCAGGGATCCTAGTTTTCCATGATAAAGAAAACAAAATTCTCCAATAAAAAAAACATAAAAATCCATGTTTTTCTGTGATTAAAATGAAATCTGACAGCAGGAGCCCTGCCACCCAGAGCTGACAGCCAAGCCCCACCATCTGGGGCTGAGGTATCATTTCCCATATTCCTGTTTGTGCGCTGGTGGCACGGGGTTCTACTGTATATGTTTTAATTTTGTGTCAACCTGTAAAAACTAAAGATTCTCCGTAAAAATGCAAATTTGGTGTTTTTTCCGTGTTTTCCCATGACAAACAGATTTCTAGGATCCCTGATGATCACCCCAACAGTTATGTTTTCCTGGGGAGAAGCTGCAATGGGAGGCCATCACCTGGAGCTAGTTTTGAACTAATTTCATGAATAACAAACAGGAAACACAGTACAGAAGAAAATCCTGGGGGAGGAGCTCTGTAAGTTACAGATATGGAGGGTAGAGACAGCAAGAATTGTCATCTCACCATTCCAAAAACAAAGGGCTTGTGGTTCCTGGTCCTATGTACTTCTGTAACAGCTGTTTAGTTACAATTTCGGACAGGAGGCCAGGAATACAGCTGTATTCCACTGAACGGAAGGGTGTGTGTATGTGTGTGTGGTGAGAGATTTCACATCTGACATGCTGCTGTTTAAAGTAGGTTTATACAACCGAGGAGGCAACAGAAAGCTCCAATTCCCCCGGGCGAGGCTGTCAGGAATCAGCAAGGGGAGCCGGTGGGGGTTAAAATTCAACAGGGAGAAAATATTTTGCAGAGTAGATCCCTGCACCCCTTTTGATGCTAGGAAGCTATGTCTGGCTACTGTCTCTGTCTCTCCATCATCACACAGATGCACACAGGCAGACCTCCTCCTCCTCTTCTCTCTCCATATAATCTACTGTCTACTCTCCATATAATCAGTTAAAAAAGAAGGGCCTGCAGCTGTCTTTGTGTACAACAGACAAGGGTGTGCTGCCTTGGGGCTGGGCTGAGGTCATGGCATCCAGCCAGTCGAGCACTTTTCAAGGAGCTCTCTGAGGAAGTGACTGCAGGGGTAACTTTGCTTTCCCTTCCTCTGTTGTTTCGGTAATGAGCAGCACAAGACACCTCTTTAGTCTTTATTAACAAAAGAAGAACACAGTGAAATTTGCAGCCTGCTGCAGTGCTAAGCTTGGGAGGAGGTGATAGACATTTGCAATTAGATACTGGCACTGGATTACTCCCTTGAAATAGAAGGTAAGGCACTGTTCTATCCCTTAGGATTTCTCTACGGAAAAAAAATTCAGATGAACTAATCCAGCCCCTCAGCATAGGGAAAAGGCATTTACTTTGCAACGAGAGGAAAAGCAAACAAAACTTTCTAAGATGCGGAGAGGGCTGGAGAATTTGGGGGCCACTCAGCACATTTCCGGAGCCTAGTAGGTGCTTCCATGTATGCCCTAAAAATAGTGTTGGGAGATTTTAAAATGGGCACTGATTTATTAGAACTAGGCAGATGGGTTATTAAAAAACAACTGATGTGCCTGTTGCAGCTGCTGCCCCCCACCCCCACCTTCTCTGTTACTCACAAGTCTCCGGGGCTGCTGCACGGACCGGACCACGAACGGCATCCTCTGATATCTGAAACTCCTGTGGCTGCTCCAGGCCTGGGATTGCCTGCTTTGTTGTGTGCAGAGACTTTAAAATAGACACCTAGGCCCTGCTTTGTTTGCACACTGCCTTCGCTCTGCTGCATTTCTTATCTTGGTTTTTTCCATTAGAATTCTTCTCTCTCATCCCCTCTTTGATCCTTTGATCAAGTTTCCTCTCAACCAGAATCCAGACCCAGTAAAGGCAGTGCTTAATTTGTGCCAAGGCTTGCCAGGGCCGAACCCTGGCACCTCTGGGCTTGGCAGTTCATAGCCCTGGCACCTCTGGGCTTGCTGCATCAGTTATTAAAGTAAAAAAATTGCTTGAGCCCTGGCACCTAATTGCTTGAGTCCCCCTGGGACTTCTTTCATTACAAATTAAGACTGAGTAAAGCAGAGGTCTCAAAGTCCCGGCCCGCGGGCCATCTGCGGCCCAAGAACCTCCCCACTGTGGCCCGCAGAGGAGAGACGTATACAGACACGCTGCCCCCCCTCCCCCCCCGAGCTCCCATTGGCTGGGGGAGAGGGACAGAGATACCGTCACTAGCCGCCGGGCAGAGTCAGCCATGGAGGCCGTGTCACTTTTTTCCACAATGAATATAAACAAGTCAAAATACCGAATACAACTATCTGATGCACACCTCACTGCAATCCTGAAGATTTCAACCGCTCAGTCACTGAGGCCAAACATCAACAAACTGACAGAACTGAAGCGTTGCCAGATGTCTGGCAAACACTAAAAACTCTCTGGCAGGCGAAGAATTGTACAACGTTGTATGACAGTTTTATTATTTCTAAGAAATTCGAAATAAAAAATACAATATAATTGTTTTCTTTTCTGAACACCATCTTCAGTGACATTACTGGCCCGCTGGGAGGATTTGAGGACTGGCACTGGCCCTGAGGTAAATTGAGTTTGAGACCCCTGGAGTAAAGGGACATCTGTGTGGGTTTGACAGAGACCCTCCATTCCTGAGATTTCCAGGCTGATTTTGCAGACCTGTGAGGTTTAGCTATTACGGATTAGCATCCTAATTGTTGAATGTGCTCCCAAACCTTGAGCCTACTGCCGTCACCTGCACCCTTATATAAGTTCGTACCAGATACTCGTGTCTTTTGGGGTTTTGATCTCGATGGGTACTGGTTTACAACATAAATCTGCCCTGAGTTGCAGTGAGTTCAGGCCAGATTTTGATCTGAGTTCTGCTGGGTTTGGGATATATTCGCTAGGAAACAGTGATGCCTTTGTTTTCTGGTGATACCTTTGTTTTCAGTGATACTTTTGAATTTCTAAGCACTCTTCCTGCTTGCAGCATTCAGCTGCCAGCTATTCTGTTTCTCAGCCTGGCCAAGTTCTGCTACAGCCGAGATACTCACACTGAGATGCTGCTTTGGGTCTTATTGCTGTTTTGGTTTAATAGAAAAAATTTCAAAAACAGCATTTATATTGAAAGTGCTGCACATGGTAGTTTTCTGTGTATAGAAAACCAGACCAGAATTCAATGTACTTACTCCAGATTTACACTGGCTGTAAATGAGATCAGAACATGTCTCTATATGTCATCTCCTCTTCTTCTAGGCAAGGCCCATAAATCCACTAGGAACATGTCATCAATCCCCAAAGGAAAGTAAAACTGCTGTAATAAAAAGAAAAGGAGTACTTGTGGCACCTTAGAGACTAACCAATTTATTTGAGCATAAGCTTTCGTGAGCTACAGCTCACTTCATCGGATGCTCACGAAAGCTTATGCTCAAATAAATTGGTTAGTCTGTAAGGTGCCACAAGTCCTCCTTTTCTTTTTGCAAATACAGACTAACACGGCTGCTACTCTGAAACCTGCTGTAATAAAAAAAATCTTGCCTCCTCCCAATGCCTCCCCCCCCCAAAAAAAAAGTATAATATGGGTTTCCCAAGACTGTATTAGTTTTGCTTCCAGGGAAGAAGGTTGTCCTGTTCTTACAAAAAGGATCAGAGCAAGGAGGTCCATTTCATCATCAATAAAATGTCCACTCTCTTTATTATTAAAGGTACACCAGCTCTGGCATCAATTATGGATAAGGAATGTTATTGCCCATGACATTCCGGGCTGCTTCGTTGCATGACATTTAGAAAACAGCCCCCGGAAGGTAGCCCATACGCCTTTCCCAGCAGGCTCTTCTTTCTGGAACGAGCTCCGAGCGTCCAGGAAGGGGTGTCAGGTAACGTGCCCTCCTTGCGCTCTCTCCTCTAAGAAATTCCAACTGGAGAATCATTTTCTAAGCTGAACTCCAAAGCGTTGCATCCGATTAGTGTTGGCAAGTTCCACCTCAGAGCTCCACCTCAGCAATGCAGTCGGAATTTACCCTGCACAAAGCAGGAAGTGCTCGGGGCCGCTGGCATTAGTGTGCCGTGGGTGAAACAGAGGCTGGTGGGTGTCGTGGGGAGTGGGCATGCTCGCTTTTAATTGCAGAGCACAATCAGGCTTCGTTTTCGTGGGACTTGGCATCCAAACGGCCGCCGCCCTGACGTGCTCCGAAGATGAAAAGAAGCTTCCAGTGCGCAGTGGCCTCGCGCCTCTCGGAGAAGGCTGATGATAAAGGAAGGGGCAGAACCTACCACCATCTGCCCCACCATGGTTCCTGCTGCTACGGTGCAAGGGAGCATCCGGAGCCAGCGGGGCGCAGAGCGTGGAACCCCCATTTGTATGTTCATTTTAAAAACACAAACGTTACATTTCAATCAGCTTCTCGACGAAAGGGCTGGACAAACAGCCAGAGGCAGGGATTCAGGCATGCCCGTTGCTGTGCTCTTTAGGGGGCTTACATGAGCTAATGCTGCGTCAGGAGGCACTGATGAGGTGAGCAGGGGATGCTGCTGCAGTGGGCACTTGGTTACCTGCTTCACCCCTCCCTGTGCAGCCCATTCCCCATGGTGCTCCAGTGACAGACCTTCTGTGCGGGGGTGAGGGAGTTTGGAGCTGCGATGCAGTCAGCAGTGCTGTCTGATTGATCACGCTGGGACTTGGGGAGACCCTGTGCACTGCCACTAGGCATCTCAGGCTACGAGAGTCAGTACAGCTGGAGCGGGGGGGGGGGGGGGGGGAGAATTTTGTGATGAGTCAGCTGGATGGTGTTAGGTCAGCAGAGGGCCCTGTGAGGGAGCAGGTACTGTCTGTTTCCTCTGCTGAGAAGGGAGCTTAGATCAGCGGGAGGGAAGGTCCCCTAGGAGTTGGAACCAGCATGTGTGTGGGAGGTGTCCTATAAACAGGGCACCCGGGGGAGAACGGGGCTTAGAGGCAGTTTTGGGGGGTCACAAGCAGGTTGTCTGGGGAAGGGGGTGGGGAGTATGTGGGAGCTGGAATAACACTGCATAGCCATGACGGGGCCAGGAAACCAAGCCCAGAGAAGACTGTGCAATGTGATTCCCTGTTCCATGGTAGGAGTCGGTTCCCTTTGATGCCAGTGGGTGCTGGTAGGAGGAGCAGAAAACAAACAAGGCACCTGTGGGTAGAAGCCTGGGAATCTTCTGGGATTCAAGATCACATCTCTGAATCCTGCTGATTGTCCAGGTACAGGCATAACACCTAGGGTGACCCTGCACCAACAGCACCCAATCAAACTGAAGCTGCTTGTTCATGTATCATTCTGTTTATTACTATCCGCCGAGCCCCAGAAGTGGGAAAAACACCAAGGTTTGTCCATGTGTGGCAGCCAGGAATGAGAATCACCTTTACATACACCCAAGCCCTGCCTCTTCTCTAGAGCAGCTGGCAAGGGACACGGCAGAGACAGACCTGCACAGCTTCACCTTTCCACTTACCACCCCCTTCCTCTGCCCATCTCTGCAGAGATCTCGAGATCTTAATCTCCTCTGGTTGCAGAAACAGCCTCTGTTACTGACCTGGTGTGTCCTTGGGCAAGTCACTTAACCAGTGTCCCAAGTTGTAATACCATGCTTCCTCCTGCCCACGGGGAGATTCATGAATGAATGTGTGTGATGCTCTTTGAGACCTGCTGGAGAAGGGTAGAAGTATGTTGAAAAAGTGTGAATGCTAAAAAATGTCTTTGGTGCACTGCCATAATAAGTAGGAGAGACTGCTAGAGGGTGTCTTCAGTCTAGAAGCAAATTGACAGGAAGACAGATGAGAAGGCAATTCAGCCGGCTCCCAGGCCCAGGGGCTGCCATCTGTGATCAGCTCTGGACAGTAACCACTCACCTTTTGATTTCCTACCCATCGTGGTTCTGAAATCTTTCAGTATTCAGACGAGGAACAAAGTAAGCAGGAGGCTGGTGCTGTAGCAGCGATTCAGCCCTCCCTAATGTTCTGTAAGCCTCCCGCTTTTTAACTGTAATTACAAAACTACTAAGTCGGACGTAAATCTATGAATTTTGCAATTACATTTACAAACCAGGAGGGTTCTGTGCATGTTGTGTGTCATTCACCGCTGGCTCTGAGGAACGCAGAGCTGGTGTCCATGGGGGAATTCTTCGCCGCCCCTTAGCAGCCGGTGGCACTCGCACGGGTGTGTGCTGTTTTGTGGGCTGGGCTGGAGGAGACTGCAGGGTGGCTTCTCGGTTGTGTTGGTGAGAAACCCTGCAAGGAGGAACCTGTCTCAGGCCAGTATACCTGTGTGGGGCCCAAACACATGGCTGGCTGCTGCGCCGCAGGGAGCAGAGGGCCAGGCCGAGAGTGCCAGCAGCACGTGGCAGGATGACGCACTAGCCCCCTGTGCCTTCTTCCTCACAGTAGCCACTGGTGCCAGGAGCCTCCAGGTCTCTGTGACATGCCAAGCAGTCGCTTGCCGCACAAGTGACCTCCGCCCACCTCAGCGCTGCCTGCACCCACTGGTGCCTTGTACTCTCCCCAAGTCCAGCCAACACCAGGGGGCTACCTTGCCTTCTCCCTTGCAGCCCCCCATCGTCACTTCCCCACCTCAGCAATCAGCCCCCTTCATTCCCAACCCTCACCCCCCCAACCCAACCAGTTCCATTCCCCTCTCTCCCATGCCCACCTATCGCCTCTTTCAGCCCAGCCAGCAACCCCGGCCCTCGGGAGGCAGGGCGAACCACTCCCCCTGCATACCAGGAGAGAAATGTCTGTGGCAAACGCCCCTGTGGCATATGGGCAGCCTGAGCAGTGAAGGTAGCTCAGAGTGGAGGCGAGCCGTGGCGATTCTGAAGGGGTTGGGGGGCTGGGTTCACTGCCCATGCCCCAGGCTGTGTGTTGAGCTCTAACTGACCTGTGTGTCTCCGCTGGCATGTTCTAGGTACCTAGAGCACATAAACGTAGCCCAGCAGGGTCTACGCAGGGTGGTGAATTCAGCGCACCAAACCCCATGGACAGAACAATCCAAATATGCCCAAACTCCCCGGGAAATGGGTTCAGAAGTGCGTGTGAAGGAGTGAGGCTACAGCCGACGTCCAGGTCCCACCTGGTCAAGGCAATTGATGTTACTGTGACTTCAGCTCCTCCCGCTGTTGTTGT